AACAATTACTGAAAACACAACAAATATGTATCAAACACAATCAGTAGTCATGTATCAGCACGCCTACCAACAAATAAAATAGCAAAACACAAAAAAAAAAAAAAAACAACAGAAACCAACAAACTTCTGTAGTTACAATATTTGGATATAAGACAGATAATACCAGAAAATTAAATTTAAGTGAAAAAATAAATGGTAGCAAATCATATTATTCAACCCATCAGTCCTGTACCAAAATAACACACTAAAATCATATTACCATGGCTTACATTACACATAAAGATTTCAATTCACATTTTTCTTCAATTTAAAGTCAGCAATTAAAAGTGTTAAGTCTATTTTTGGAGACGTATCACTATGCAACCTTCTTGATTCTCACTTATGTCTAACTGCATAATACCTACTTTAAAAGCTAAAAGGAATTACAATAATATAAGAAAATCTTTATTTTTAATTCTTTTGATTGTAGATTTACAAATGTAGGTATCCCTCCTACCAAGAATTCATCACAGAAATTTGGTTCCTTTCATTGGATATTGAGAAGTAGAATATCAACATATTCTGGTTTACGAGTATATAAATAATGGCACTAAACGGGACCACATACACGGTCTAATGGTTGATCGCATGCCCTTGTATTCATTTATTTACTTAGTAGTAAAACTCATGTCAAAATATATATTTTTTATGTTATAACAGTATTTTGTATAGTGTGTTATTGACTAGTGACAATTAGAGCTGGCAAAAAAGACTCGGTTCGACAAGCCGACCTGTCCCATCTGTCAAACGAAGTGAGGTGAGTTGGTTCGTTATTTTGACGGATTGATGCAGAGCAAGGCAAATTGATTCATTTTATAGCGGATTGATGGAGGGGGAGGTCGTTCAGCCACCTCCAATGACAATGTACCTATGAATGTTATAACAATGAAATTATAATCTTCTACGTCCATATTTGGTTAGTTACTCGAGTGAAGTTTTTTTTTTTTTTTTTAATCTTGTAATTGTAAACTAGAATGGAAAAGGATTTCCTTTTTTTTAGATATAAGGATATATCATTTGTCTTGGGGGGGTTTATGATCCAAAAGAAGTAATACATGTGCTACCCAATGGGTGCAGCTCAGTTGGTAACTTGGCGCTGAGTTAGTGGGGTTGAATATGTGTTCAATTCCCGCTGAATGCATTCTTGGGGAGGGGGCTGAACCTTTAGCCATCACTGTTCCCCCGCACTCCAGATTAGTCTCATAGCCGGCTCAAAGAGTCGAAGCTCGTGGGGATACCGGAGGGAGCCAACTCGTCTCAAAGAGATAATTAGAGTTGGGTAACTCAAAAAAAAAAAAAAAGTAATACATGTGCTTTATCAAATGCACTTGACAATTAAAATTTGAGATTGTGTGAAATAAAATTGCAACACGGAGCACAATCCAAGAATTGCAAATTCACCGAATCGGAAAGGCCTGGCCCGACACAACTTGATGGCCTAACGCAGCCCATGTTTTCATCTCTTGTGTTGGGTTGTTAGATTGAGTCAGCCCAGTGAAGCCTTACATAGTTACATTACATGCACCATTTTATTTTTAATAGGTTAAAACTAAAAATTGACATGGTGGCTACGGAGAATAAATTGAAACAAGACTGATAAATCCGCATCAATTCCCATAATCTATAGCTAGAACAATCTGTGATAGGGTTGATTGACAACATAGATGTTGGCTTGAAAACGCCATGAATAATATTGTAGAGTATTTGTGATCCAAAACCTTCATAGGTAGATTTGATCGTGTTTTAATGGATTGTGAATATCTGAGCCCCTAATCATTATAAAAGTATAAGGAGAATAATAATGTTTATAATAATTAATGTCAGTTGGTCTAAAGTATTCAATAATTTTCCTCAAACAGGTAGTGATGACATTGTTTTCTGTTGAGCACCCACCCATATCTGACTCACACAAGGAAATCAGGATAAGATAAATAACTTTGAAAAAAAATGTCTAATATTTCTTCAAATTCAACTCATTTGCAAAAACTCATTCAACTTTGGAAAATATTTAATGGACTTTTATAATACTTTAAATCTTCATCTAATGTGCTATATGGGATTAAATGATAGTAGATAAGTGGGATGAGAGTATGTGTTTGATCCTCTACAATACTGTCTTTGAAAAGAATATAAAACTTAAATCTCGAAATCCATTCCGAATCAAATTAATCACAAAACGATCAACTGAGTGAAATATAACAACAACAAAAAAGTGTGCTACTTGAGAAATAGATTACTGATAGTTTGACTCCAATAAAAAAGTAGAGGCAGGTTTAATTCCCTCTCCCGTTAGCAATATGCTAAAAAACAACTAATCCCTCCCGTTAGCAATATGCTAAAAAACAACTAATCCAATGTGTGTGTGTCTAAATTATGCTAGGAATTATGATAAGACAATAATCCAAAACAAATTCTATAAAGAATACTTCTTATTTTGGCAATCATGATAACAAAACCAACTAGTGTTCTTCTTCCATTTTTTAACAAGAACTCTATTAATTGATAAAGAAATATAAAATAATAATATTTTTTTGAAAATTAAAATAATTAATTTAAGTTTTTGAATTAAAACAATTTTTTATATGATATTAGGATGAAGTGATAATGACTTCAATTGTCACCATCTTATTTTATGAATAAATAATTAAAGTTATAGATTTTCTTATTACAATTAGATGGATCTGTGTGTCATCTATTTTTCAAACTCATAATCTCGTGTAGAAAGATATACAGTAAAGAAGGAAGAGCGATATTTATCACCAGGCTTATTTCTCTTACAATTTGTTTGGTTATTATTGAATTAATTTAAAATTAATGATATATTTTTTTTAACCATTAACTTTAAATTAATCCGTTGATAATTAAATATGTAATAAGAATGATAAGTCTAAAATTTATATTAAGTATAATTTTTTTCATTAGAAAAATATAAAATTAATAATATAACTCACATTAAATTAAAATAATTATTTATATAATACCTTATTACCTTAGCGGCAGCCCCAACACGATATGATATGATGGGGAGAGAGAAAGCAATAAGGATAGGACAAATGAAATTGCTAAGGAGGTGTTTGGCTTGCAGCTTTTTAGAAGAAACTTATGCAAATGTAAGGATTCTTGAAATGAGATGTTTGGTTTAGGGTATTTAGTGAGAAAGCTATTCATCCAATTTGGATGAGTTTTTAGAAATTGGAACGGAATGATAGGTTTATTTACTGTTGAGAAAGTGTTTTGGGAGGTGGGTTTTTGTTAAAAAGCTGGGTAATCTCACTGTTCACTCAAATTTTTCACTATATATTACCTCAAACCAAACATACATTTCTTAAAAGTTACCTAATTTTCTTAGTAACGTTTTTTTCCTAACTATTTTTTTAACATTTTTCTATCTATCTCACTTTATCTCACTTTCTTACCATTTTTCTAGTATTCAATAAAAATTTCCTCAATCAAACGCTCCCTAAGAGATTTCGTATGCATTTGATTTGATATTATTTTTTTAATACAAATGCATTTGATTTTTTAATGAGTCGGAAATGTAAGCTTTTATGTAGGAATCCTCACCATTTGAATTTTGTGGATTTAACATGGCTGCCTATGACTCTTGTAATGACGTAGTTTAGTATGAAGCTATAAGTGCTTTTGAAAATTTTAAAAGAAATAAAGTTGTTGTACTTCTACTATTAATTATAACTTGGAGCGTAAGTAGCAGTAATATCAAAGCAAAGTCACACCTTTGAAAAAAAATATAAGTAACTGAATTCAAGTAAAATAAATGTTTATTTTGATTCTTTAAAAAAATTAGGTCAATTACTTTAATCATTTAAAAAAGCAACATCATTTTTAACCTCTCAAATTATAACATTAAAGTAATCTTTTTATACATAAATCCTGAAATTAATAGATTAAATTGAGAAACTAAATTAATAATTTTTTTAATAATTAAATAATTTAACCGATATTATATTTGAATACTATATTGATAATAATTTTTAAAATAATTAAATTAATGTCGTTCTCCATCTTTTAAAACTAAATTAATAATACTTGTTTTTCAAGAATTAAATTAATATCAACCTAATTTTATATAAATCCAATTACGATAGAGATTTGAATATCTGAGTAAATTTGTAATACGAGATGCATTCATTAGAAATTCCGTTGCTAGTAATTGTTTCGTGTTAAACAGTACTTTTTTTTAAAGAAAATACCCACCCATATATATATATATATATATATATATATATATTTATTTTTTTTATTTTTTTTAAATTGTAGAAGATTCTAAAATATTATTGATTAAGTCAAGACACATTCATTGTACATTTTTATTTTTATTTTGATAAATTCAATGCCAGGAATCTATGATAAGACAATGATCTAAAACAAAGTTTATAAGGGAAATGCCCCCTTTTTTTTTAGGGACAAGGAAACCTACTAATACCTTACTACATTAGCAATAGCCACAATATTATATGACGAGGAGAGAGAAAGCAACAACTAAAAGAGCAGCCTTAAATTAAGAGTAAATACATTTTTTTCGATTCTCAATAAATTGTTCGACTATCACTTTAGTACCTAATAAATAAAAAAGTTATTTTTGGTTCTTACAAAATTTTAAAATGGACTCATTTTAGTTTTTTTGAGAAATTAATATGAATTTTTTTTGAATTTGTAAGGGATCACAATTTTAACTAAATGAGTCTATTTTAAATTTTTTATGGATCACGAATAGTCTTTTTATTTATTAGGGAACTAAAGCGAGTATTGTGAAATTTGTGGAGACAAAAAAAAAATATTTACTCTTAAATTAATTTCCAAAAAACCGTAGTTATCGTGTTGTCTCGTCACTCGTCTCGGCCTCATCATCTCATATGACTCATTATTCCACATAGTCATAAAAAAGACCGAAACGCAACATACATAACAAGACATCATCGTCGTTCAGCATTCAATATTTTTCTCTATTATTCCTTCTCTAACCTCACCCAACACCACAACAAAGACAAGAAGCTGCAAAGTTTGAACAAACGACCAAAACAAAAAAGCAAGGCCCTTTCCCTTTTTTCCTCATCCTCATCGATTGGATTAAGATTAGCCTTCCAAACCCACAAAAACCATAAGATACTGAGACACGAGTTGGGAAGTGAAGAGTTTTTCTCTTCTCTTTCTGACCCTTTTTATTTTTTTCTGCGTTGAAGACAGAGGGAGGAAGATGGAGATGATGCCATACCAGCTTTCTCGGTTACCTTATCAAGATTCCCTCAAACTTCTGGAGGCTGATATACAGCATGCCAATGCTTTGTCAGTTTCCTTTTTCTTCACCCCTTCACTTTTTTTTTTTTTTTTCCTTTCTTCTTATATGTATTTTTTATTATTTTATTATTACGAAAATTGAGAACGATGAAAAAAAAAAGGGTGTTCTTTGTAAAGAACGAGTTTTGACTTGATTAAAGGCTTTCTTGATAAGTATCTGTCTGCTACTGGTTGAGATTGATCATCTTTGATTGTTTTCTAGTGGAAGTTAAAGTAGGGACTTTTATTCATCTTTATTGAATTTGTGAGTCAGAAACTGGAATTTGGTGATTAATTTGATTGTTAGATTCTTTAATTTGGGACTATGTATTACTTTTTCTTTTCTTTTCTTATTTGCTTTCTGTTGTGGTGTGCCCTCTCTGAATTTCAATACCGGGTCTTTTGCTCTATAGGGCTGCTGCAATTCCCAGAGCCAAGGGTGGGACTCTTCTCCAAATGAAATTGGTTTACAATCACTTGGCTCCTCTCTTTCTATTGTTGCTTCAGTGGATGGATTGTTCTTGTACATGCTTTCTTCACAGATATCTCGACCTCTTCCACATAGTTGTATACAAGGTGAGTTACTGGATGGATGGATAGGTCTTCCATATCTCTAATTCTTGTAATAAGCTGTTAATTCAAGCAAATTGGTTTTGTCCTTTTTACTGTTTTTGCCAATGCTTTTAATTGATACTTGTTTTTCTATTATTGTTGTTGTTGCTCTCTTATTTTACCAAAGGTACACAATGATGGTAGATCAAACATGACTTCTCATGGAAGAAAGGCAACCATCCGGGACTTTTATGGTGCGTGAATCTTTTGACTTTAAAAAAGAACCTTTTTTATTTTAGTTATTTAACCTCCCCACAAAAGAAAAAAAAAAAGTTTGTTCATTTTGTGGCTGCCTTTATTACAGAATGTTTCTCACTGTTTTTTGCGGTGAAAATTTGAACTTTAGCCGTTATACTACCATCTCTCCAGCGGCTTCATGGTAGCTTGGAGAAGTTGGAGATTTGTAAGAAAGGTCACTCTGGCTTAGAAGGTTCAAGTTATGGTCAGAAGATGATTGAAGGAGATGGGAAAATATTCAATGTCGATTTGGAGAGAGAAGATGAATGTGGAATATGCTTAGAGCCATGCACCAAAATAGTTTTGCCTAATTGCTGTCATGCCATGTGTATTAAATGCTACCGCAAGTGGTAATCAGTAATCACATTATATATAATGCCCATTTAGTAACCTTACTCTACTACATGTGCAACTTGGTTTATCTTTTGTAACACTTTAATTTTGATCTTTCCAATATGCAGGAATACACGGTCAGAGTCTTGTCCTTTTTGCCGTGGTAGCTTAAGGAGAGTTAATTCTGAGGATCTATGGGTTCTCACTTGTAATGAAGATGTTGTTGATGCTGAAACAGTTTCCAAGGAGGACTTGTTACGTTTCTATCTTTATATCAACAGCCTACCTAAAGATCACCCAGATGCACTTTTCTTAATGTATTATGAATATCTGATTTGATTTTTTACTAAATAAGGAGAAAAATGTACAGATAGGGAATTTCGGACTGCAAGTGTGAATAGAGTCTGGTAAGAAATATCTCTGATCATGTCAACCACAGTCCACAGCTATGCTAAGATGAATTTATGGAATTTTAGCTCAGAATAAGAACCCTGTTGGTCTGTCATATATCTATCTCCATTTTAGACAATATAGAGTACTATTACAATTAACTTAGAAGCCCTTGTTTGAGTTCTAGTAGCTGAAGTTTTCTAAGAAACTAATTCAGATATAAGGATCCATATATATTATCCTAAGTCTACCTGGATGTTACTTCTTGAGAAGAATGATACTGACAGTATAAATCCATGGGAACAGTTATTTTATTTGCACATCAAAATGTGTGTATCATTTTTATACTGGTTAATGATAACTGAATTATTAAGTAACAAGGTATATACATTGATTAACGGACTATTATAACTTGTTTTCAGGTTATATTAACAGATTATTACTTCGTTAAACTTTGTTAATTAATAGATAGAAAACAGTGTATAAGTAACATTTTGGAAATGCTACAAGTTTGCACAACCGCAAGAAAAATAAAAAAAAACAACTAATCTGCAGAATCATTGACTTATATGTAATTATGATAATTATATATATGTACACATTTTCGTGTTAATCTAAGCTGCACAAATTCGAAGATAAATTTGATTGTGTAGACAAACAGAGTCTATATTTTTAAAGGAGATTACTTTTCACATTCAATAGAAGAGAAGTTTTATCTTCTATCTCCTAGTGACACAAATGAAATGGAGTGCACTAACTTAAAAAAAAAAAAAAAAGGGAATGATGTTATTCGATGTAAAGTATGATATGAGATAACTATTTCATATAACATGATAATATAATTTTCCCCTTTTAAATATATTAAGGGAGTATTTGGTAGAGAAAAAAAACAATTATCTGAAAATCACAATTCTTGGAAATATGGTGAAAAAGTAAGTTTATCACGAATGTTAATAAAAAATTGTTTAGTAAGTGAAAAGGTAAATTTATCAGGAATATTACTAAAAAGTTGTTTGGTAGGTTAAAATATTCACGAAAATATTGGATTAATTTTTTGATGCTATGTTTGATTGCTTGTAAAATATTATTGGAAATATGGATTGAGGTTAATTATGTCTCAAAAAAAGTATCAAATATTTTCATCACATGATATTCTCAAAATACCATCCATTTGATGGTATTTTAAGATAAAAAATTTCTTCATAAACATGAATTCCGAGAATCCAACTTTCCCTAAAAAAAAGTTTATAATTCTCGTGTCAAACGTTTTGGGAACTCGGTTCCCTCAGATCGGCTCAGGGGCCTTTGTGCGGAAGTCAATCAACAAGATACTGATTTCGGATCTTGGCAATACCTCGGCCTAAACTTCACCAGGTCATGCAGCGCAGCGGAAAAATCAAAACGAAAACAGGAGAGAGAGAGAGAGAAGAAGAACACAACCAGATTTAACGTGAGAAAACCTTCTCCAATGAAGAAGTAAAAACCCACGGGACCTAGTCCAGATCAAAAATCCACTATGAAAATAATGGTTACAACGAATCAAATACACCAATGTGGTGGTTAACTCAACCTCTCCAACAATGGTGATAATCAAACTACCCTAGAGATGTTTCACTCAAACTCTCTCTAGAGATCTCTCAAATGCAAAGCATAAAGTTTTACTCAAACAATCAAATAATTTTTCTCTCAAAATTTGTTCTCTCAAAATCTGACCTAGCCTCCACCCTCAACTAATGAATATATAGGGGAGGTGAGAACTAGGGTTAGGGTTTTTAGGAAACCCCTCAATGGACTTGGGCTTAGCATTGAAGGAGGAAGCCCAACAAATCTCCCCCTCCGACTTCAATGCGTCGGCTTCAGCATCAACCCAGCTCCTTCACAGCAGTCTTCAAATTTTCTTGCTGGAACCGGCTTTGTCATCATGTCGGACCAATTTTGGTCAGTGTGCACCTTGACGAGTTCGAGCTCTCCACCTTCCACCACATCCCGGATCCAGTGATACCTCACATCAATATGCGTAGTGCGGGAGTGATAGGTCCAATTCTTCGCAAGATGGATTGCGCTTTGATTGTCACAACCCAGCTCATACTTGTCTTGATCATGGCCGAGTTCCATGAGGAACCTCTTCATCCACAGCATTTCTTTGCTTGCCTCAGTAGCGGCAATGTACTCAGCCTCAGTTGTAGATAGTGCAACACATTTCTTAAGTCTTGATTTCCAAGAGACAGCTCCTCCGGCAAATCTCATCAAATATCCTGTAATCGACTTCCTCGAGTCGGCGTCTCCCCCTAAATCAGAATCCGAGTAGCCTTGCAACTCGGCTTTGCCTTCTCCAAAACAGAGACATAAGTCGGTTGTACCTCGGAGGTACTTGAAGATCCACTTCACTGCTTCCCAGTGCTCTTTGCCGGGGTTTGACAAATACTGGCTTACCATTCCAACAGCATACGCCAAGTCGGGTCTAGTGCAAACCATTGCATACATCAAGCTTCCGACGGCGGATTGGTAAGGGACCTTCATCATCTCATTTTTGTCTTCTTCAGATCTCGGACATTGCTTTCTGTTCAGCTTTATGTGTCCGGCTAGGGGGGTGCTCACTGTTTTGGCTTTGTCCATGCTGAATCTCTTCAGAATCTTCTCAATATATTTCTCTTGACTCAGCCACAGTAGCTTCTTCTGTCTATCTCAGATAATCTTTATTCCGAGAATCTGCTTTGCAGGGCCGAGGTCCTTCATTGCGAAGGACGAGCTCAATGCCTTTTTCAGGGCGACTATCCTCGATTTGTCTTTCCCTACAATAAACATGTCGTCAACATATAACAACAAGATCAGAAAGTCTCCGGCCTCATACCTCTTCACAAATACGCAGTGGTCGGCATCTGTCTTTTCAAACTTATGATCAGTCATAAATGATTCAAACTTCTTGTACCACTGCCGAGGTGCTTGCTTCAAGCCATAGAGGCTCTTTTTCAACCGACATACCAAGTCTTCTTGGTCTGGAGCTTGGAATCCTTCAGGTTGCTCCATATATATTTATTCTTCTAAATCACCGTGAAGAAATGCCGTCTTCACGTCCATTTGTTCTACCTCGAGGTCCATCGAAGCCGCCATGGCTAACACGGTTCGGACCGAGGTCATTTTCACAACAGGAGAAAAAATCTCCTCAAAATCAACTTCTTTCTTCTGATTGCAGCCTTTCACTAAAATCCGGGCTTTGTATCTCGGCTTTTGCCCGTTCTCTTCATTCTTAATCTTGTAGACCCATTTGTTTTTCAGAGCTCGTCTTCCTTTTGGCAACTCGGTCAGCTCATAAGTCTGATTCTTGTGCAGAGACTTCATCTCGTCTTGCATTGCCTTTTTCCATTCTTCTTTCTCTGAGCACGTCACAGCCTCATCATAACTCTGAGGCTCACCGTCTTCAGCAACAACGGTGTATTCATCAGATGGGTATCTTGTAGAGGGTCTTCTTTCTTGAGTTGGATATCTCGGCTGTTCTTCAGCTTGAGAACCCGATTCATCATTCTCATCCTGGATCTCATCATCAACTCGGACCTCAATGTCTTGGTCATCTTCAGCTTGTTGCTGATCATCATCTTCTTCATTTTCTCCCCCTGCTTCAGCTCGGACAGGAGGGATGGGTTCTTCACGTCTGACAGTAACCCGAACTTTGGGCTTCGAGATGTCATGAATGTTCTCATGCTCATGCAAGATCACATCTCGGCTTCTCACGATCTTCATATTGATTGGATCCCAAAGTCGGAACCCGAACTCACATCTCGGCGAACCAAGATAGATGCATTCTTTTGTCTTCGCATCGAGTTTGGCCCTTTCATCTTTAGGGATATGCACGAAAGCTCGGCATCCAAACACCTTCAATTGACTGTAGGACGCTTTCCGACCTGTCCAGACTTCTTCTAGAATTTCTCCTTCAAGTGGCCGTGATGGTGAGAGGTTGATCAAGTCAACAACTGTTTTGACGGCTTCTCCCCAGAATGATTTCGGCAATCCGGCATTGGATAACAAGCTTCGGACCTTCTCTTCAATAGTTCTGTTCATCCGCTCAGCCAGTCCATTCAGCTGAGGTGTCTTTGGGGCGTCTTCTCAAGTCGAATCCCGGCCGCTCTGCAGTATGCATCAAATGGGCCACAATACTCACCACCCTTATCAGATCGGACCACCTTCAATTTCTTTCCAGTCTCCCTTTCAACCATAGCATGAAATTCTTTAAAGGATTGGAATACCTGGTCTTTAGACTTCAACAAATACACCCACACTTTGCGGGAATGGTCATCTATAAATGAAACAAAGTACTGAGCTCCTCCAAGGGATCTTTCCGACATGGAGCAGACATCAGTATGGACGAGGTCAAGAATATACTTGCGTCATCTAGGTTGATCCGGTCTCACAAAAGAAACTCGGTGCTGCTTTCCAGCTAGGCAATGCGTGCAACTCTCCAACGCTTGGCCTTTCAACCCGGTCAGTAATCCTTTCTTGTTCAGGATCTGGAGCCCTTTCTCGCTCATGTGGCCGAGGCGCTTGTGCCATAGCTCCAAGCTAGATTCATCTCGGACAGAATTGGCTTCTCCGCCATTGATCTTTCCTTGCATCACGTACAAGGAGCCTTCCTTCTTACCTCGGGCCACGACCAAGCTTCCCTTGGCCAGCTTCCATCTAACACTGCCGAAGTAGTTCACTAACCCGGCATCATCAAGTTTGCCTACCGAGATTAGGTTCAAACGCATGTCAGGAACATGCCTCACATCCTTCAACACAAGTCGGCACCCGACATCCGTGGTCAGAGTTACATCACTGACACCAACAATCTTGCTGGTCACTTGATTTCCCATCTTCACGACTCCAAAATCACCACCTCGGTAAGAGGAGAAAAAACCTTTGTGTTGAGTAACGTGCAAGGAGGCACCGGAGTCAACAATCCAGGTGCAGTCATCATATGCAACATTCAAATAATTATCCTCACCTAGGAGGAATATATTGGCATCAGGGTTTGCAGCCACCGCAGTGGTGCTCTTGTCTTCCCTCTTCTTGGGAATAATCTGATCCGGCTTCACAGAGACGTTCTTCTCATCATTTTGCAGGGTCCAACAGTCTGGCTTCTTATGGCCTGTCTTTCCACTGTAAAAGCACTTCAACTCGTATTTCGGCTTTGACCGACCTCTGGACTTATCTCGTCTATCACGACCTCTACCTCGGCTTTTGCTTCTACCGCGGGAGTCAGATTTCCCTTTGTTCTCAGCAACGTTGGCCTCAGACGTACTCAAAGTACCTCGTTCTCTTCTCCTGGATTCTTCGCCCAGGAGGCTGTCTGTCACGACATCCATCTTCAATTTTCCATCTGGAGTCGAGTTATTCAGGGTCACCACCAGAGTATCCCAGCTTTCTGGCAGCGAGCTCAACAGCAGCAATGCCTGCAATTCTTCATCGATTTTCATATCAGCCTTTGACAGCTGATTCACAATACCTTTGTAGGTGTTCAGGTGTTCAATCATGCTCATGTCGTCCTTGTATTCAAGCTTAACAAGTCGGCGAACCAGGTGTGCTTTGTTCCTGGGAGTCTTCTTCTGAATCATGGACTCTAGCATCGTCCACAACTCATACGCGTTCGTGAATTCGGACACGTGTTCAAATAAGCTTTTATCAATATATTTCCTGATCGTGGCTACCGTCTTCCGACTCAGGATCTCCCACTCCTTATCAGTTTTGCCTGCCGGTCTCTCATCAAGGATAATGGGCTCATGCAGATCTTTGCAGTAGAGATGATCTTCCATCATCGGTCTCCAATAAGTGAAGTTGTCTGCGGTCAACTTGAACATATCTCCATCATGAGTTATGCCACTGGTCTCCATCTCGTCTCCCTCAGAACCCGTCGAACTCGGGCTCTGATACCACTGTTGGGAACTCGGTTCCCTCAGATCGGCTCAGGGGCCTTTGTGCGGAAGTCAATCAACAAGATCCTGATTTCGGATCTCGGCAATACCTCGGCCTGAACTTCACCAGGTCATGCAGCGCAGCGGAAAAATCAAAACGAAAACAGGAGAGAGAGAAGAAGAACACAACCAGATTTAACGTAGGAAAACCTTCTCCAATGAAGAAGTAAAAACCCACAGGACCTAGTCCAGATCAAAAATCCACTATGAAAATAATGGTTACAACGAATCAAATACACCAATGTGGTGGTTAACTCAACCTCTCCAACAATGGTGATAATCAAACTACCCTAGAGATGTTTCACTCAAACTCTCTCTAGAGATCCCTCAAATGCAAAGCATAAAGCTTTACTCAATTAATCAAATAATTTTTCTCTCAAAATTTGTTCTCTCAAAATCTGACCTAGTCTCCACCCTCAACTAATGAATATATAGAGGAGGTGAGAACTAGAGTTAGGATTTTTAGGAAACCCCTCAATAGACTTGAGCTTAGCATTGAAGGAGGAAGCCCAACAAAACGTAAGTAAATCACTTTCTCATAATTTTAAAAAAAATTCTCCTACCATCCCTTAATGTTTGTACAGCATCACCAATTGACTCCTAGTTTGGCTTCTTTGGAGAGAGTAAAAAGTGACAATGAATCTAGACTTATATTTTCGTAATCACAATGCGATTTTTTACAATTTCTTTCACCTAACCTGGGGGTAAAATCACCTACCCGTTATTTTTGTGGATACACAAACCCAAACACCTGCCATTTTTGTTCCTTCCCCATAACCATAATTAATTATTTCATTTAAGGACTGATAGCTTCGACTATTTTAACAAGTGATGTTGACATCTAGACATCTAATATTAACTTGCTCTCTAATTTTATGGCCTCAATTTGAACTATTTCTCCAAAATGAGTGTTATATGATGGCCCATACCAGCCGTAGAGCGCGTTCCGTGGAGTTTATTTTAATATATTTGACATGCTGTGACTCTCTTGATCTTAGTAATTAGTATTGTTATTTGTCATCGAGACAACCGTTGTGTTTATTTTTGAACAAACATGCCTATGTTTCGAGCTAGGACAGTTTTTTTTTGGCTGTCACTACCCTACTCCATTGTGTCATTTGAATGTTTAGGTCTTTCGGGAAAATTTGACGATGGAGGAAAGTGGTTCAGCTGTGAAGGTATGGGCAAAAGAGAATAAATAATTATTCATGAAGTAATAAATATAATACACTAGAGCTGGATAATAAAAGCTTTGGCCTGCAGGCTAAACTGTTTTTAGACAACTCATTTTGCAGGTCAATTGAAAAGTAAGAGTAGAAATTTGATTTATTTTTAACCCCTGAATTAAACGTATAAACCTTGACAACATGAGTTAGCTCTGGACACAATGTGACTTCAATAAAAAAATAAAATAAAATCCTAACTCTTTAATGGAGTGAAAAAATAAAATAAACGGAACCTTGAACGAAAATAAATTAAACCGTTTAAACGGGTGTGTCCCTTGTTAGAAAAGATAATGATAATGTTATATTACAATTTAAATCATTAAAGAGGTCCTTATTTAATAGTTTAAATTTTTGGATTGAATTGGTTTTTTATAAAATAAATCATCGAGAGAGAGGAGATAATCTGTGTTAGAGAAATCACTTTCACAATGCATATAGTTTCATAAAATACACATAAGAAATCGAAACATGCAATAACTTAAAATTAAAGAGTATAGTACGAAAATATGTGAAAGTAATAAGAAAAAATTCGAGCTTAGTGTTAGAAACTGTCTCCTTAAGACAATATTGTCCTCTCTATGGTGCTCAAGATTTATGGATAATTGTCTCTCGGGATAGAACGAATTATCTCTATTCTTGTAAAGGCACGTCTACATAAAATAGCATTATTAAACTCAACAAATGCCTTATCAACTGCACTAATATAATGGAATGCAAATCAAAGAAGAAAAAACTAAACTTCTCTCTAAAATTCTAAATTGTTTATCTATTTATAGAAACTGTTGGGTCACGTTGAAAAGACACATTTATTCAAGGATGAAACAACATATCTGTTCATCGATAAAACGACACATCGTTCATCGATAAAATGACACATCGTTTCAAATCAAATTTCTTATTCATAAAAATAATTAATTTAAATTAATTCCAACATCCCTTCCAAGTATGAATTCAAATTGGTTAATGTCTTCTGCCTCATAATTTGGACTTGGAATCTTAGTAGGAGATGAGATTTTGCCGCCGAAGCTAAAGAAGGGGTTGAGCATCAGGTTAACAAGTCAGTCCATTTACAGTGAGGCTAAGACCACTTAAAACTCCAACTTGGTTTGGCCTATCTTATGGTAGATTCTTCACTTTTCAAACTAAAGTAAAACGAATCAACCTCTATTCTATTCCCACCATTAACAGCAAAGTGAGAATTGATGATGGAGATCAACATATCTATATTTATAAAATATATCTTAAAAGCACTTATAAATGACTGTTAAGAAATATGCAATATTCTTTGTTAATAATATTCCTGAATGAATAAAATTCTCCAAATTCATCTTCTTCTTCTTTTGGTACATAAATTCATCTTATTTAATAATATAGAGTTCTCTCTTTTTTAGAGTAAAATCATTTCTTAATAGGGATTTGTAATTGTTATGTTACAGCAAATTCATTGGATCATGCTATAGAGACATCGAAAACTGTGTAGCAAATATTTTGATTTTTGATTTTTTTTAAAAGCAATGGGACCCACCAATGTTGTCTGTGCAGGAAAATGAAATTGATTCCTGTTACATGACATTTCGAAATCCCTTCTTAATATACTCCCTCTTATTCTTATATCATATATATGGTTTCATTATAAAAAATAAAAATAACACATATCTTTTTTTATTTATTTTTTTAACATTTTTTCAATATTGTCCAAAACATAACGTTTGAATTTCTTGTTTATTATTTACTCCTTTTAAAATATCTATTCATAATGAGAATATTGTCAAATTTGGGTATCGTATTTAAAATAATTAATCGACAATTCACTTATATATATTAAATTAAAATATACATTTTTTAGAGTGCCTAATTTCTTGGCTTACTTGACATATGTCCTTCTTAAATTTCTCGCATCAAACTTGATTAATCTTATTAGTATTATCCTTAATTAATTATATTTTAAATTATTTTAGCATTATCTTGATAAATTATATTTTGTTTACTTGAATTTTAGGCTATTATATTTTGTATTTCTTATTACTTATTTTTCATATTGATCAATGTTTTTTTTATGCTGACACATGTTGCTTTTCTTATTTGATTTATTCTTATTTATTCTTGCTTAATTCACTATACCAACATTTTTTTTATGTACACATAGCATCTCTCAGGTCGATATTTTACTAGACTTTTCAACACAATAAAATATTTTATTCACTTCTCATTTTATATGAAAGGAATTAGTGTAAATAATACAATATCATTAACCGATATAATAATGATGTAAATTTTTTTGAATACAAATAATAGAATTATTTGTATCAAGAGAAGTATTTATGATAATATTTGTAATTTCTACTAACTTTTTTTTTATTTTCGTAAATGTCTGAAACTCAATATAATAAAACTCTTTATGATTATCTAAGAGTGACAAGGGCAATAAGGTTTCAAGGGCACTTCTGTTATTTTATCTTCATTCACACTATTTAGGAGAGACAAGAGCAATTGGATTACCGAGTTAGTGTCACTAAGGAGATATCATTAATCAATATAACAATGATGTGAAAACTTTTGCGTGCAAATAATAGAATTAATATTTGTCATGATATTTTCAATTTCTACTAAAAAATAGTTTATTTTGATTTTCTCCTGAATTTCTGAAATTCAAAACAACAATAAAATAGTCTATTCATCACTGATACTATTTTCTCTCCCTTCTATTTAAGAGGAATAAGGGCAACACAGCTCAAGATTAACAAATACTTAAACGTAAGATGTAAATACAATTTGTATACTAAAAAAGACATCACATTTTTCTTCTTTTCTTTTTAGCAACATGGTTTTTTATTCCCTCTACAGGTTGTTGTCCAAGGAGTAGCATAGATTCTGATGCTTCAATTTCACTAAGACGCTTGTTTACATCATACTTGAACTCAACAAGAGAACTATGCAAATCTTCAAGTTGAGAGTGTTGGGCCACTTTGTATTGATTTAGGGCCTCATTAAAGACCTCACCCTTTTTTTCATCCTCACGAACCATGTCCATCACCTCTGCAAGTTGTTGGTTTAGCAACTTCGGAAGAGGGTTTTCTTGTGCATCATTTGATTTGGGCTCTTGTTGAAGAAACTTGGCTGCAATAGCATCAACACTTGGGTGCCCAAATGAGTAAGGCTTATTCCCAGGGGAGAATACAACAATAGCAACTTCAGCCCCACATAAAATGGATAACTCATTTGCTTTCTTGAATAGACCTGTTCGACGCTTTGAGAATGTGACTTGCCTCGTGTTGGTGTCCTTCACCATCGTAATCTCAATTTTTCGACGACCCATTATTCCTTCACTGAGTAATTACTAAAAGAGAAGCAAAAGATTAGAAAAAGATGGACTATGTGCTATCCCCCACTCCCTTATTATATAGATACACTCAAAAGAGATTCATTGTTTCTAATATTGAATTTACAATCTCCTATTGTTTTCAGTTATGGACATTGTTTTCAATGATATGGATATGCTTCAATGTATTTCCAATTTTACAAAATTTGCTCTTATGAATATTTTTTGGCTTTTTTTTTTTTTTTTTAATTCAATGGTACTAACATTTTAAGATTTATCGGAAAACAATAAGCCTAGATTCAATGGGACTAGATATCATTGGAAATATCGAAAGGGTTTGTTACTGTTTGGGCACAACACCGACTCCTCTTACTTTCCAAAGTCACCAAAAATGTACCTTTGGTTGTTAACTTGGGATTATACCAATTCTTGCTAAAACAAATACCTTGTACAAATTGTCTTTTATCTTTCAAAATGATACATTTAATAGAAAAGTGTTAACCTTAGACCTTATGGTTACTTATATGTTTATTGGATCAGATCAACACAGTTGGATTCCAACTATGTTGACCCGAGTAATTTATAAAATATAAACATTAGGTGAGAATTATTTTTTATTCAATCTAATTCGAACTCTTTCATTATAGTTTATATATATATATATATATATATATATATATATGTGTATATTTAATTGTTAGACCCAATTTAATTAAATCACTCACAATTTATATTTTCCATGTAAAATAAAACTATATCAATTTTTTAATCTTTTTTTTTTTTTTTAAAAACTTCGATATAAAACGATATATTTTAGTAAATATGTTTAAAAGATACTAATCTAATTGACTGTGGTAGATTTGCATTAATAAAGTATTTCATTTCAAGCCAGCTAAATTCAAATGGACTAATTTTCTATATATATATATTTATTAAATAAATGTCTATTTTAGTTGACTAAAAATAGAAATGTTATAAAAAAATTTAAAAAGACGATATTAATGACCATTAATTATTATTTAAGCACCAACTTAATGATATCTATATATGAAACAAAATGAGTACTGCCGACCTGTCTCATTTTTTTTATAATTGTTTTTCTTTTATTCTCGCAATATAATTTTTTCTTTAATTTTACTTGGGTATATCAGCTCCAATTAATTTGATATGAAAATAATATTATTATTTCGTAGAAATAATTGTTTTAGAAAAAAAATATCACGCAATTATACTTCGTTTTCAAATGTTTCTCATTTCCCTTCAAAGGTTGTCTTTTCTTTTTAAACACTTTAAAAACAAAAAAAATTAAAAGATACAAATTAAGAACTGGGAAATTTTTGTGTGTTCCCAGATCAAAATCTTGTCTTGGTTCAAAATTTGCAAACAATAACATTAAATCATCCCAAACCCTGTCTCTGCTTTGTTCTAAGGTAATTTCTCGAATTCATTTTCAGGATTTTGATTGTTAAGTGTATTTGATTGGATTTACTTCTATTGACCCTTGACTGTTATTCAATTGAACCGTGTAAAGTTTTAAACTTTATAGATAATGATGCATTTGGGTGTTGGTGCGGAATTTTTGTTTGATGGGAAAGCCCATTTCTCATATGGGTTTATAGTCAGAGGTAATTTGATACATGCTTTTACATCTTCCAATATATATCAGGTATGTGTTAGATATGGTACTGCCTTCCCAGATTTTGTTGAGAGTGTACACAACTTCATTGCTGAGAAACTTCCTCAATTGTCCAAATTTTTCCAGGCAGTAACATCCTGCGGTTTTGGTAGATGCGTTGTGAGGTAATCTGAAAGATGGATCTTGAAGGCAAAAAGATTTGGGAGGGGTAACGTGGCCTGTTGATTGTTTGTTTTTCTATTTTTCTTGATAATGCGAATGTGCAAGATAACTGCCTATCTTCAGAATAGTTGAATTGGAAGCTTTTGGTTTACCCTGGGGCATACATAACATAATCATTTACAGAATGCAAGCAATAATTCTTTTATGATTCCTATTAATTATTAAATAATGTTATTTCTCCAATTTCTGTACCACAGAACTTTCTTGATTTCTTGATTCACTGTTTATTATAGCCTTACGTTTTCAGAGAATTTTGCGGGGTTTATAGTCAGTGATATAGCAAATGGAGCTTAATGGAGCTTTGTGATCATGAGATGATCATTAATAAAAATCCCGCTGAAGTCTTGCTCTAACATTTGCTCTTTTGACCAGTGTTACCTTGCTCGAACAGGCTAGTTTGACCCGGAACTCACTGGATCAGTTACTTGACCGATTCGAATCAAGTGTTGGACTAACCATACATCAGACACTATGAACATCGGTTCAAATTTGTCAGATTTTATCAAAACAAATGATCCGATCGGGTCATCAAAACCGGCAGGTCATACACTTTTATTAAATATATATACATATATATTGGTAAATGCCTTATTATACATGGTTAGTTGATGATATTTGGTAAAGGAATTATATGTGCTTACTTGATACTTGAATTTTCTTTTTCTTTGTTAATTTCTTTTACAATATATTATATTTGGTTACCATATATGATTCTTTTTTTTATCCCTACAAAAACTACATATGTTTATAGCCGTGCATAACAATTTTTTATATGCATTTGAGTATTTTTATATATAAAATATAAGTTTTCATGTACTAACATGGGTCATGCGTTGGTTGAACCAGTGATCCAGTACCTTGACTGGGTCAATGGTCGGGTCGGATCTGATAAAATTGCTATTGACAATAGGTCATTGATGACTAAATAAAATTAATGCTTAGGTTCTATAATGTACGTTAGTCAATTTCATTGATTTATTTTGTTAAACTAGTGCTTATATTCCCTTTTCTAATTATTATTTGCATATGGGTTAAGCAAGTATGATGCATTGCTCTTTGTTTTCTAGTAAAAACTTCAACATGATTCAGTTGGTTGTCATGATTGAAGTTTGGTAAGTCTTTTCCCACAACCAACACTTAGTGCTGACTAGGGATATGCATGGAGTGGTTCGGTTCAATTTTTGTTAAAAATCGAATCGAACCAATTTTAATCAGTTTGTTTTTCAAATTGAATTAGTTTTCTTTTTTAAAATCAGTTCCAAAACATGTTTATGGTTCATAATCGATTTTGATTCAAAATTTAATTTTAAACCTGTTTTGATTTAAACCGATTTTATTTGCCCAAACAAGTTCATGATGCACCCTCAAACGTTTGGATCAAGGAAACGAGAAACACGTGTTTGCTTGGAAGAATATTCAATGCCAAAAAAGAAGAAAGAAAGAAAGGAAAAAATCTACCATACATCGCTATCAAAAAGTTCATTGCAAAATTAAAATATTGTACATCATTCATACAACCTATATTTATTCAAAAAAAAATCAAATTAAAGAGATTGCAGATCTGTAAGGAAGAAAACAATGAATAATGAAAAACCTCCCCTCTCTCTTGTTATATATTTGCAACAAGTATTAAGATGAATATCATGAATACAAATGAAATCAGAGTACCCTAGATGCAATAAATCGAAGAAAAGTGCAAGACAAAGACCTAAAATCAAATGTGAAAGAGAACATAAATAAGGAGGAGTATTTAAATACCTGTTTTATATAGGCGTAGCGAGATAATATGCAAAAATGCCTAAAGTGAGTTTATTACAATATCAGAATCTAACGAAAAATATGACAGAGTTACGGAAGCGAGGCTTATAAATGTTGTGCTCATAAATCAAAAAATTGGAGTTAGGGTTCAAAGCAAATATAAAAGCGGTTTAAGACCAGAAAAAATGAATATCTAATTGTTTTTACGGATTGGTTAATAGCCGTTTTAGAAAATAAAATATAGTTTAATATAAAACCAAAAAAATGATTTTTTAAATATGAATCGATTTGATTATCAACCAGTTTAGTCTTTTTTTGGATATTTTGAACATCCCTAGTGCTGACAATAGATATTAGACTAATTTCTTTATCTTTTAAAAACTACTCTTAGTGCTAACATTTCCTATATAGTAATTTTGTTCAAGTAACATAACTATGTTACTTTTTTTGGAAGATATTTGATTCTTGCTATTATTAATTCATTATTACACAATGAGATGTATTTTCTTTGGTAGTCTTATTATTTTTCTCTCTTGGGTGGGGGGGTTATTACGAGTATATCCAATTTCAAATGGTGCACTCCCGATAACTCAGCTATTATATCACGCGCTTCAAGTAATTAATGTACAAGCTAATGCGTTTAGCTTAGTTAACTTTTGTCCTTAGTCAATTAGTTTGCTGAAACTACTTTCTGTTAGTTAGTTCAGCTTTGTATAGCTCAACTAGTAGCTTTTCAGTCATAGTTTTTGTCTTTATATACTCTCTCACGTAACCTCTCATTCATTCATAATATGAAATTAAAATAGAAAGATGCGACATTTTCTCTTGTAAGATGGTATTAGATTAAAACTTGTTATCTAATTTTTCATGGTCATTCTTGTTTCATTAAACAGCTCCATACATGGAGTATTATTGGTATAGCTGAAGCATCAATGTACTCTATGTGATAATCACTTTAAGTATAGGCCACACCAAAAATAAGATCGAGCTTCCTTCTTCCTTGTCTTTGAAAACAGCTTCAACATCTTCTATTTCAGATTTCATTTGATGGCATTATAGATTAGGCCACTTGTCAAATAGTAACTTACAAAATAACTCTTCCAAGTTTCCTTTTATTCCAAAGGATCAAGTATCACCATGTGAGCAACATCGCTTGCCTTTATCTCAAAGTTCCAAAATATTCAAATTTTTACATAGTGACATTTATTGGTCCATTTTCTATTCCCTCTATGCATGGTCATCGCTACTTTTTGACATTAATCGATGACTTTTCATGCTATACACAGCTTTTTCTTCTAAACACTAAAGTTGAAGCGTTCACCCAACTAGTTATCAATCATGTGTAGACTCAATTTCATATCACACCACAAAAGTCCGCAGC